AACATATAGCACATTTGAGATTGAATGATCATTTGATATTGTCATTTTGCCCAATTCTTTGACTTTGCCCTTTGAATTATCTCCAAATGTGATTCTTTCTTGTCCATCTACTTCTTCATCTAATGAGATGAACATACGAGGATCACCGGTCATATGTTGTGTGCAACCACTATCAATTACCCAATGACTTCCACCGGTCTTGTAGTTCACCTACACACAAGAGATCAAGCTTGTTTAGGGACTCATACTTGTTGAGGGCCCTTGGCTTTCTCTACTAGTGACTTTGCTACCCAAAATTTTTTAGGCCTATTCTTGTTGGGAGGTCCTAAGAACATAATTTTCATCTTTCCACTAGAGTCCCTTCTAAGCATGTAATGAGCATTGAAAGCAAAGGCTCTAGCATGCTTGGACAAGGGTTGCGGTGGTGGAGTTTGACACTCATGGGCAAAGTGACTTTCTTGTCCACACTCAAAACACTTCTTTGGCTTTGGCTTTTGTTGTTGTTGTTGAGCTTGAGCCTTCTTCTCTTTATTTTCCAAGTACCCAATGCCACTTCTATCCATCTTCATGACGGTGTTCATTAGTAGCTCACTTTGAAGATGTTTGCCTCTTGTGAACTTGCTCAAGCCAATCTTGAGATGCTCTTTTTCCAACTTTAGCTTCTTGTTCTCTTCTTTGAGTGGATCATTATTTTTCCCTTCCTTGAGTTTCTTGTTCTCTTCTTTGAGCTTCTCATTCTCAAGAATCAAATCACCATCATGATCAAGAGTTTCTAGCACTATAGTGTTGGTGGTTTTGAGCTCTTCAAGATCTTTCTTGAGCTTTTCATTATCATGCTTGAGCTTGACATACTCATCATAGTTGTTGGTTTCAACCACTTGATTGCCTTTGCCACTAGATCCTTGCTCAATGCTCTCAACAATTAAATCATCGCATGATGTAGCTATATCAATCTTAACAACATCATTAGTAGCATCATGTGGCTCATTGGATAAAAATTCTTGAGCGATAACAAGATTATCATGATTGATCTTGAGAGTTGTATATTCTTCTTTTAGCATATTGTGGCTAGTGATGAGCTCATTATGTATCCTCTCAAGTTTATCATATTTTTCTTTAAGCTCTTTCTTAGAAGATTTGAGCTCCTTGAGTTTGGATGACATAGCATCATTTGCTTCTCTAAGCTCAACACTAGCCTTTTCCGCTATATCACATTTAGCTAAAAGAGAATCATTCTTAGCTTCTAGCTTGTCATTCTTAGCTCTAGTCTTTCTAATGATCTTAGTATATTGGTTTAGCAATTTGACAAGATCATCATATGAAGGTAATTCAAATTCATCATCATCACTATCACTATTGTTAGCATGATCATCACCACTACTATCATCATCATTTGATACCTTTCGTTCACCCTTGGCTATAAGGCATAGGTGTGTAGAGGATGATGGTGGTGGTGTCGGTGAAGATGATGAAGAGTCAATCACAATGGCGTCCACCTTCTTGTTGTCACTATCATCATCGGATGAGCAACTAGATGAATCAATGTCCGTGAGCCAATCACCAACGATGTATGCCTTGCCAGTCTTCTTTTTCTTGTGAAAGTCCTTCTTCTTGCCATCCTTCTTCTTGTATGGCCTATTTTTCTTCTTCTCATCTTCATCTTCATTACTTGAGTCATCTTTATTGCCCTTGTACTTGTTCTTGTACTTGTCTTTCTTGGGCTTGGTGCATTGATGTGCTTGATGATCAAGTTTTCCACAATTGTAGCAATCCATCTTGAGATTGGTTTCCTTCTTGTGCTAGTGAAGAACTTATTTTTCTTGCCATCAAACTTGATGCCACTCTTGTTGTGCTTCTTTAGCATCTTGGCGGTTCTTCTCACCATGAGAGCAAGACATGCATCATCAACTTCATCATCACTTGAGCTTTCATACTCAATTCTTGCTTTGCCCTTCTCTTGGCTAGCCTTGAATGATAAGTATTTGTCTTTCTTCTTGGTAGAGGATGAGCCATCTTGTGGTGTGATGTGCATGTACATCTCATGAGCATTGATCTTTCCCAAGATTTGAGTAGGTGTAGCGGTGGAAAGATCACCTTAATGAAGCACGGTCACAATATGCCCATATTTATCAATGGGGAGGACACTCAAGATTTTTCTTACAACATCGGATGGTTGCATTTGAGTGAGTCCAAGCCCATTGACTTCCTCTACAAGAATATTCAAGCATGAGTACATTTCATTAGCACTCTCTTTAGGAAGCATCTCAAAAGAGTTAAGCTTTTTCATTACGAGATGATAGCGTTCCTCTCGCTCGCTCTTAGTTCTCTCATGGAGCGCACAAATGTCCGACCATAGTGCATGGGCGTCCTTATGGTTCCTCACCCGGTTAAACACATCTTTGCAAAGGTCTCTAAAGATGGTGTTTCGAGCCTTTGCATTCCATTTCTCATAGTTTACTTCATTACCTTGAAGGTGCGTGGGATCCTGAGGTTTTGGGAATCCTTGTGAGGTGGCTCTAAGTATTCCAACATCTAGAGCTTCTAAATACGCCTTCATACGGATTTTCCAATAAAGAAAATCATCCCCCTCAAAGATTGGAGGAGGTCCATCCCCGTGACACATCTTTCTCTAGGCGGTTAAGCCTAAATACGTGAGCACGAGGCTCTGATACCAATTGAAAGGATCAAGATGCCTAAGAGGGAGGGATGAATTGGGTTAATTCTAAAATTCTTTGCAATAATTAAATCCTACACTTAGCCCACTTCACTCCTTGTGCCTAGAAACTGTTTCTAATGTTCTACCGCACAAAAGTTTAGCACCCTAAGTTTCAATCCTACTCTAGCATGGCAATTCTAAGTACGTAAAGACAAGAATTGAATTGCTCAAATGTAAATGCTTAGAGTAAAGAGAGAAGGAGGAACACGGCAATGTTTTGCCGAGGTATCAGAGAGTCGCTACTCCCCACTAGTCCTCGTTGGAGCACCCGCGCAAGGGTGTAGCTCCCCCTTGATCCGTGCAAGGATCAAGTGCTCTCTACGGGTTGATTCTTTGACACTCTATCGTGGTGAATCACCCATAATCGCTTACAATTTGAGTTGGTTCATCCACAAGCTCTGCCGGATGATCACCAAGCTCCCAATCACCACCAAGCCATCTAAGTGACGGCAATCACCAAGAGTAACAAGCACAAACTCTCACTTGACCACGACAAGCCTAATGAGAAGGGTGAATGCACACTTTGCTACTCTTGCTTTCACTAATGAGATCTCTCTCTTGAATTCTCAAATCTCAATCACCTCACTAGGACCTTACTCTTCTTGGCACTCTCAAGGGTGTTTCTCAGCTGTTGAAATGAGCAAAAGTAATCCCTCACATGAATAGAGGAAGTATTTATACACCCGTGGTCTGTGAGATCTGAAAGCTACCCCACTATTAAGATATGCATTATAAAAATCCTCCTACAGTGGTGTGTAGAAGCCCTCTGAAGCATGTTCATCCCTCCTAGGAGGGAACCAGTCCTCAAACTGAACGAACCTGAGCTGTTGAACCTACTTGGCTGTGGCAGCCCTCAAATCCTTACAAAAGTTTTCATCTATAGCTAGGATGACCGAAACACATCGCCATGAGCAGTTTTATCCAATCGCTAGCTGCATGCATCTGTCTACTTCCAGCGATTACATTCCACCTGTAAATAAAAGTTCACATTGCCATAAGTAGAAGATCCCCATATCTAAATACTGGCAGTGCATTATTATTACAGAGTTGTAATTTTTTTGCTCATTCTTCTATATTGGTCTAGCAGATGACAAATGCAATTGATGTAAAAATAAATATTATAGCAGACGCGCATGGGGAAGGGAAGAGTGCGCTCGGGAAGGGAGAACTGACCCTGGATGGTGAGCGATAGAACTTGTCTTTTCTTGTGAGCGAAAGACGTGGGATGGAGGATTGGAAAAATTGGATTAGCTGATGGAAAGATTGTTAGAGGGTGTTTTTTCACCTGTAAATTACTAAATCTGAAGTCAAAGAGAGATTTCGAACATCTTCTTGGAGATGCTCTTATCTGGAAAAAGGATGATAGGGATCTCGATGATAGGTGGGTCATGTGTGTCATTATCTATTGCGATGGTTTGATGGCTCTGATTTGAGTGCTTCTGCCGGAGCAGATGCAAAAATTCAGTTACTTAAAAACGAGAGAGAGAGAGAGAGAGAGCTCTCAAATCAAAAAGTAGAGGTCTTGATTTGAGGGCTCCTCGAGATGCTCAAACACATGTGAAAGTAACGTTTCAGAAGAACCAGTTTTAATTGACGACGAGGATGGCGGCAAGACACATAGCATGGCTCATGGACTCATGGGTGTGACCATGAGATACCAGCGCCTCCATTCAGCGGTGCCGTCGAAGATTCATCCAACAACAAAGGTGCGACAGAACATCTAAGCACATCAAATGACTACATCTCTCTATATATATTTGCCACATTTGACTTTAATTTTTTTGACGTTAACAGATGTTACAATACAACTATTTGGTATGGCAAAATAAACCGATTTATGAATTTTGCATCAAAGTTTCATAGACAATACTTGTAAGATTAATGGTCACAAGTATTTCAATATAAAAGTCAATAACATCAATTATTTCAGATAAGAAGAACAACAGCTTTTGCAAGCATCCTCCACTACCTAGAAAAAGGATGGTTTAATCCAGATAGGTGATGGCCAATTCAGCCAAGGATAAATAATTGGTGAGACATCAACAAGTTTCGACATACTTTGCTCTGCCATACTCCAAATACCAATTTCTCGCCGGTTAAGCTTCCAGAAATTCACATACACTACGGAGTCGTCGGTCATGTAAGCACAATTTGGCTTTAACCCAGGGAAATCCTTTACCGGTAGACACATAGGGCCATTGAAGCAAAGAAACAATGCATACTCTGGCACGCTCTTGATCAGCTCCGCCCTCTGTTGATGCAGGTCAACCTTGTACAGCTGCAACTAAATGGTGTTGTGCTCCAGACACGGGTCCATACCCCTTTCGCCGTCGTCCACGTAGTCTGGTGGAAAGTGCACCGGCGTCGACGAGTCGATGTAGTCCTTCAACCACCAAACTTGCAGGATGTCACCGGCCGGTGTCTGAACGAGGTATTTGGTTGGGTTGACAGACTTCGGCACGTAGTTGAGGACCTTACGTGCCACCGGCGAAGGCCCGTTAAGGTCCAAGCTGCACATGAAGGCGTCTAATCGGAGCAGGTAGAACAAGCCATCAGCGGCACTGTACATGGAGTCACGGTAGCCGAACCTTGACGGGAGACCCGTGTCGTCGTCGTCGTCGCCGCCCGGTGCTACCCAAGTCCACCGGGCGTCGCCGAGCCTGGCGAAGGAGACCTCGCCATCAGGCATGTGCAGGAGCAGCACGACGCAGGCACCCCCAGCGGACGGGCTGGCCGAGAGCACGATGCGGTACGCGGGGTCGCCATCAGGTAAGTGTACTCAAGAAGATTCTCGTAGACGAGGTACGCGGGGTCGCCCTGCTCGTCTGTGCTCGTCCGCACGTGGTGGAGCGCGGTGATGGGCGGGAGCGCGACCTGGTCGCCGGTGACCGGGTTGAGGAGGTGCAGGTCGGAGGCCTCGTCCGCGGTGACCAGCCAGCCGTGGCCGGAGCCTAGCAGGGCCCGGCGGGCTAGCGGGGCCAGCAGGAAGTGGATCCGCAGCGTGGCGGCGGTGGACGGGCAGTGGAGCGCGGCGGCGCCGGGGCCGAGGGCGTCGGAAGCGTAGAGCAGTCAGGGAGGCTGCCTCGGCGACGGAACGCGGCGTACGCCGCGTGCCAGGAGGCGCAGACGGCGCCCGAGCGGATGGTGTCGACGACGTGCAGCGCTCCAAGGACGCTTACCAGCAGGTCCTGCGGCAAGCGAGACCAATCGCGTCCGGCGACGGGGTCGGCGATGAGGCCGGAGCCGGATCTGCTGTTCGCTGCTGGTTCCATAGCGACGTCTGCGTCGGCGGCGCCGAAGCCGATTTCGGAAAAAATAGAATTTTACACAGCTGGAGTCTCGCCACGAAATTGATCTGTGTAGTTTGGTACTCTGTTTGGGTATGCGCTGCCACTGTTAGGCAGGATAGCCGCCTCTGCTTCCGTCGTATACTTCGTTGGTCACATGAAAAGTGACTTTGACTAAATATGTATTAAAAAATATTAATATTTGTAAGACATAATTAGTATCACGGGATAGATTCTTCAATATAATTATTTTAATAAATTTATTTGGAAATATAGTTGATGTTAATTTTTTTTATAAACTCAGTCAAACTTAAGAAACTTTGACCAGCACAAGTCTAAGAACAATTTATATTAAATAATGCTGAGGAGCGGACGTCCGATCTAGCCGAACGCTGTTTTTCGGGCCTGCGTGTACCAGACTAATAGGCCTGCTTACTCTTTGCGTCTCCCATCTCATCTCTCAGAAATATATCCCCATCGCCCTCGCCCATCACGTGCTGCTTTGCATCGTGTGCTCACTGTTGCCGTCTTCCTCGTCGCACACCCAATCTTGCGCCGCGTGACTCCCTCAACCAACGATGCACTCCATCACGCGACGCGCCCTCTCCATCGCCGCACCGCCCTCCATCCCCCACCAAGCCCGCTCTAGCTTGCTGCGCGCTGCGCACCGTCCCCCGTCCCCCACGTGTGCCGAGGAGCTGTTGGGGTGCTTCCGAGGTGCTATCGACACCGTCGTTCCCGACCAGAAGGTCGTGCCGCTGTCGACGCCATGGCCGCCGCGATGCGCGACCACAGAAGGAGATGTTGTGATGAAAGCGCATGTTGAAAGCGTTTGTTTCAAGTATTTTAGACATTTCAGATGTACGTTGCAATTGTTTCTTATGGATGTTGCAAAAATAGATCGAGGGATATCACACGTGTTGCATATGTTGCAAGTGTCTGGAGCTCAACACCACTGAGATGCAGCTGTACAAGATTGACCTGCATGGGCAGAGGGCGGAGCTGATCAAGAGCCTGCTGGAGTATGCATTGTTTCTTGGCGTCAATGGCTCTATGTGTCTACCAGTAAAGGATTTCCCTGGGTCGAAGCCGAATTGTGTTTACATGACCGACGACTCCGTAGAGTATGTGAATTATAATAAGCTTAACCACCGAGTAATTGGTATTTGGAGTATGGCAGAGCACAGCAAGTCGAAGCTTATAGATGTCTCACCGACTACTTACCCTTGGCTGAATTGGCCATCTCCTATCTGGATTCAACCATCCCTTGTGTAGCTAGTGGAGGATGCTTGCAAAAACTGTTTGTATTTTTCTTATCCGAATAATTGCTATTATTGGCTTTTATATTCAAAAAATAGTTGTGACTATTAATCTTAGGAGTACTGTCTAGGTAACAGGTAACTTGTTGGTAAATCAATAAATTGATATCTTTTGCTATTCCAAATAGTTTATAGTTGTACCGTATTTTCTGTTAATCTAAAAAATTTTGAAGTCAATTGTGGCAAATATAGTTGGAGATGCAGCAGTCATTTGACATGCTTAGATGTTTTGGACGGATCTTCAAGCTACGTATTTGGGTCTGTCAATATCAGCACTATTTCCAATTATTTTATTTTTATTTTTGGAGCGTAAGTTCTGGTTCAGCATCCATATTCCATAGAAGATATATCATATATCCATTTGGATGTTGCCGGTTACAAGCTACATACAGTACTTAACCAAATCTTCCTATGGAGCATTACTTTGAAACCTTCATGAGCATAAATCTTTACATACCGGATGTTTCATGATTTTTTTTTTTTTAAATATGATTTTCTAGTTTTGCATCTCAACATTTTTCCCTGATCATAAGCATCCTATCAGCTACATTTTACTGTATTTTGTAAGGTGCTACATCAACTACATTCTGGTTGTTCAGAGTGCTCGCCTACACTGGCTGTCAGCGGTAGCTAGTCAGCTGTGTTCTAGTGCATTTACTTGAGAGAGATAGCATCTAGTGGCACCAGTGATCGGTTGGCAAGCGATTGGCGCACAAGAGAGAGAGAGAGAGAGAGAGAGTTGTACACTGTGGCTGAGGGAGGGAGAACGAATGAGGGAGAGGGATGGAGGGGTTATCAGTTATATAGTCTAGGACGTGGGTCAATTTGGGCCAGTGGGCGGAGGGAGAGGGATGCGCAACCTAGGCCCAGGTCGTTGGGCCTTAAACATTTAACGAGTTTTATTTCCTATTTATCTAAGTTTAATTTATGCACTATTTGATTAGACACTCAAAGTAAACATTCTAATCCAATTGTAATCATGTACCCAAAATACTTATTAAATAAAAATAGACTACATATATGTCCCTTTGTAGAAGTTTCAAAAAATTTAGAACTAATTTACTACTTTCTATAGTTTAATTGAACATCTGCTTTTGGAAAAATAACTACAACTTGAACTACACGTCTTATATAACAATGTCCAAATATAAAAAATATATGTATGAAGACATGTTCTATTTGAGCTCACATCCTAAATGTCCATGAAAAATTAAGTGTTTTGTTAAACATTACTTGAACTACTATTTTGGTGACTCCGATGAAAAAAATTAATAATATCATAACGTGGTCTAAAAATCCTAAGAATTGGTATGGGGGAATAATGTGGGTGTATAATCTTGACATAAAATTTTAAATCATTTAACAAAGCCGGACTATAAACTATTCACAAATGGGTACATCCCTTACATAGTTTCATATAATTATACGAGAGATGTACTACCATTGGTGAACAATGTATGGTGCCTCTTTTTTAAAACCATTTAAATTTTTTAATTGGAATATTATACACCAAAAACATGTTGTCACACAAGTTTGTAGGATTTTCTAATAAAGTTTCGAACTATTAGAACTATTTTATGTTAATTTGGAGATAGAAGGATGAATTATCCATAACAAACAAATGATTTTTTTCATCCATCTCTGGATATGGCCTGGAGTGAAACATACGAGCAATTTTAATAAAGTGGGACTAACTGAAAGCATCTAGGCCCCTAGTTGGGTTTCGGTGATTAATGACAATATAAGATTACTATGACTAACGTGTGTTTTGCAGATGCAATAAAGTTAGGTCATGGTAATGAAAATTGATTGGGCAATCATGGTTGTCATGCCCCTACGATGGAAATCGTTTCGATTTTCAAAGGATAAACGACAAGGTTAAGGATGGACTAGTTCTAAGTGTTGTTTGGTGTTGAAGAGACACTTAAAATAGTTTAGGACTTTGTTTTTCCTTTGGCCATACTATTAAGGGGGGTATGGACGGGTAGCTTGACCTAGGTAAGTCTAGTTGGTTAGGTGTGCTGCACACTTATTAAATCTAGCACTAGGTAGCTCCTAAGTGGCCCTTAGATCAATTGGAGCAAACTTCATTCACATATGATTGCGAGTTGGAAGTGAATGGAGGGTCAAATGTTGACCGGACGCTGGTTCCGGTGTGACCGAACGTTGGCGCAGAGTACGGTCAGTTCATTTGATCAAGGTGAAGTCATCTAGATACGACCGGATGCTGAGTGAAATGTGATCGGACGCTGGGTGTCGAGTCCGTCAACTCCAGAAGAAGGTTCCGAGAGGGAGAATCTGATCGATATCGTCCGGTCGAGTGACCGACGCTGGTCGTTCCGTCCGACTCTTGACTAGACGCCGAAGCGACAAAATGACCGAACGCTGGGTGCCAGAGTCCGGTCAACATCAGTAAGGTTCTAGAGAGCAGTTTTCATGATCGAACGCGTCCGGTCAGTGCTGACCGGACGTTGGTCAGTGCCCGGTCACAACTTAACTGCTCGGTGGCGGGGAGAACTGACTGGAGCGTCCGGTCACCCCGTAGTGGCATATAACGGTTTGTTTTGAATGAGGGGCTATAAATACTTCCTCTATTCACTCAAGGGATTACTTTTGCTTATTTCAACAGCTGAGAAACACCCTTGAGAGTGCCAAGAAGAGCAAGGTCCTAGTGAGGTGATTGAGATTTGAGAATCCAAGAGAGAGGCCTCATTAGTGAAAGCAAGAGTAGCAAAGTGTGCATCCACCCTTCTCATTAGGCCCTGTCGTGGTCAAGTGAGAGTTCGTGCTTGTTAGTCTTGGTGATCGCCATCACCTAGACAGCTTGGTGGTGATTGGGAGCTTGGTGATCATTCGGCGGAGCTTGTGGATGACCCAACTCAAGTTGTGAGCGGTTGTAGGTGATTCACCGCGACGGAGTGTTGAAGAATCAACCCATAGAGAGCACTTGATCCTTGCGCGGATCAAGCGGGAGCTACACCCTTGCGCGGGTGCTCCAACGAGGACTAGTGGGGAGTGGCGACTCTCCGATACCTCAGCAAAACATCGTCGCATTCCTCCTTCTCTCTTTACTTTAAGCATTT